ACGCTGGCTCGGGTGCGGGCCCGGGCTGGAGCTGGCGGGGGTAGGAGGGCTGTGATCATGGCAGGGCCAGTCAGATAGTGGAGCTTGAACAGGTAGCAGAGAGCAGCAACAGAGTGACGGATGTCCAGGCTGGGCAGGTAGCAGCCATCACCAATGACGTGGAGTGCCCTACGTTGGATGGCTGTGAGCTTGGCTAGTGTGGAGGGTGCTGCGCTCATCCACACCAGCATCCCATACTCCAGGATCGGCCGAACAAACCCACGGTATACTACGGCACGGCATCGTGGGTTGAGAGCCATGGCAGCCTTGCGGAAGAAGCCGAGTCGCTGCGCACCGCGCATTGCGAGGGACCGTATGTGCTGCTTGAAGCATAGCTGGCTGTCAAATGTTACTCCTAACAGGCGGAGCTGATCCACCTCAGGTACGTCTGTCCCCTGGAATGTGATAGAGGGAGCTGGGTGGTGGGATCGTCGGTGGGTGATCGTGAGGGCTTGTGACTTTGTCGGCTCAAACCTGATTCGCCAGAGGGTGCCCCAGTCGGCAAGTCCGTCAACAGCCTGCTGGAGCGTTGCGACTCCATCTGGGATATTGGCTCCGGTTGTGATACACTTATATACCGTGGTGTCGTCGGCATATACTGCGAGTTTAGCCTCTTCAGGTAGGTGGTCCTCTGCGTCGTTGATGTAGATCAGGAAGAGCGTTGGGCCGAGGATGCTGCCCTGCGGCACCCCTGACTGGATGTCACGGGTACTAGAGGCCTGGCCACCTACGACAACTTACTTTGATCTTGCGGCTAGTGAGATAGCTCTGCAGCCAACAGAGCAGGGACCCTTTGACACCGTATTGCTCTGCCTTGTGAAGGACTCCTGGGTGTGAGACCTTGTCGAAGGCCCCAGCGATGTCTACTGCGCGCACCCTGACAAGGCCTCCCTGGGCAGCTGTCTGGTGCCACTCATGCTGGAGTGCGATCAGAAGATCTGATGTGCCAAGTCCGGCGCGGAAGCCGAATTGCCGCGACGACAGAATAGAATTCTTCTCCAGGAAGTTGGATAGACCACGGTTGATTATCGACTCCATGCATTTGGGCACGACGGACAACAGGGAAACTGGTCGGTAATTCTTGGGATTGGACGTTGACCCTTTTTTGTGAACAGGCACAACATTTGCAAGTTTCCAGGTTTCAGGTTGATAGCCATTGCGGAAGCACAGGTCAAATAGCCGGGAAAGTGGGAGAGCCAACAGTTCGGCGCATATCTTCAGGACCCTGGCAGGTATTGAGTCAGGTCCAGTGGCCTTGCTGGGGTTGAGAGCAAGCAGGGTACGGCGGACTGTGGCTGGGCGGAAGTTGTAGTGAGCGAGTTCTGGGAGCGTGGGCGAACAGGGGGCATTGTGCAGGAGGTGTCAAAGTCATTCTCAAGGCTGCATTTATCAGCGAAGTACTGGCATATGAGTTCGGCCTTCTCGGTATTTCTGGTGTGCTCATTGCCTTGGCTGTCGACGAGAACTGGGATAGAGCTGTCTCTACCGAGCCCTCCGGAGCGCTTGATCAGGCTCCACCATTCCTTATCCTGGAGGCTGCCTGTTGCAAGCTTCGCTCTGGTGCGCTGGAGATGTGCTTGCTTAGCGCCGGATAGTCGCTGCACAGAAGCCAAGCATGCCCGTCTATACTCTGCCTGAAGAACAGGACTGGTCGAGTGCTTGCGGAGTCGGCGCCATGCCTGACGTTTGGTGGTAAAAGCAACTGAGCATTCGGGAGTCCACCAGCTAGGGTCTCCTGGTCGCGTCTTCAGGACTTTCGTTGGGATGAACCGTCCCATGCCCTCAAAAATACGCCTAGTTACATTACTGCAGGAGGAATCAGGATCATCAGTGATCAGTTCGTCCCACGCGGTTGCTCGGTAGAAGGCTGTGGGCCGAGGCCAATCAGCACGTTGGTAACGCCAAACGGTCCCGAGTGGCTGGCATATCATGGGATGGAGTTAGCTGGAAGTCGGTGGTGATTACTGCATGGTCTGATCGACCAAGGGGTGGGTACATGGTGGTTTTAACCGCATCGGGGACATCCGACATGACTAAGAGTAAGTCAAGGGTGTTCCCGCCTCGAGTGGGCTCTGACACATGCTGCTCAAGGTTGTGGATGTAGCACAGGTCTTCGGCGGCTTCTCCGGATGCTGTTGTGCGGCTGCTGCCAAGCCATTCATGGTTGTGGACATCAAAATCGCCTGCCACGACAATGTGGGAGCAGGACTGGCGGGCAATGTCAATATCAGATTCGAGCTGTGTGAATATAGTCGTATCATGGTCAGGGCAGGTTCCAGGCCAGTAAGCTGCACATACAGTTTACTGCCATTCGTGTTCCTGTGTGGGTGGTGATGCTGACCCATAGGACCTCCTGGTCCGCAGTGTTTGCTACACCTCCGCCCTGTGCCATTCTGTCCCGACGTATAGGTGGATAGTAACCTGGGATTGTTACCTCTGCTTGGGTGGCTTTCTCCGGGGAGAGCTTTGTCTCTGTGACGATGGCCATATCCACATTAACGTGCGTTTAGCAAGTGTTGGAGTTCTCCAATTTTGTTGTAGACGCTAAAGGCGTTTGTCAGCAGCAGGCGTAGCGGCTTGGCACACATCATGCTTGTTGGCAGCCTTCTGTAGATCTAGTCTGGCTGCGGGTGAGAACTTTGCTCTGTCCTGTGTACTGCGGCCGCAGGTGGTGCGGCAGACAAGTTGTCTGTCTCCATCCGCGTCTCCGGGTGAAGGAGTTTGTCCACGGTGGCCTCAGTCTCCTGCAGGAGTTGGTCGCCCGTACTACTCTTGTCTTGATGCTAGCAAGAGCTCATATTCATAAGTTATCATAACGGTAATTAACCCCCATGCCCAGGGGTTATCATGGTTGTGTCTTTTGAACTCTTGCCTTGTAATATTGGCAGTCTTCATGCAGTTCATATTAGATGTACCGAAAGTCCGGAGCAAACGCCCACTTCGCAGCAAACGCCCACCCCAGCGGGTCCATACTATTTTCGTCTTTTTCAGGTCAATTTCGTTGTAAACAACTGGCATGAAGGTCGAATGCGTACGAGAACGACTGTAATGCCTACAAACTGCCTATGTCCTACCAGGAGGCTGTGCAAAAGCGATTGTCATTATCTTCCTGCAAAGAAATAACTTCTGTCGAGATTTCCTTTCATTCAATAAAGGTGGTAGTTTGTTCTCCATGTGGTACGAGTAATGCCGCATAAATTTGTGCAGTGCCACGATGTCGCACTGTCAGGAACAATAATTGTTCTGATGAAGCGTCAGTCAACGGCTTGACTGGTCCCAATATTGCAGTTGCAAGTCGAACAGGGTATGTAACAGAAGCTACACCTACAACGTCGCTGCTAACTTGTTGAAAACTCCGAAGTGCCCAAGAAAAACATTTGCCTTTGGGCGCTGTGTGTGTAGTGTGTGATCTCGAAATGATGGCTTGAAACACCGTCAGAAGTGTATTTGGTTCCTTCAATACTCGGTACCTTGTTATTCGGAAGAAAACCCGTTCGGATTTGCGAAATAAAACAACCATCATTATAAAATCACTACGAGCTAGCTAGCTCGTGGCTATCGCTAGTGCACAAAGAGATTTTGAAACAAGGAAAGTGAACATAGTTTACGTTTTACCGTAGCAAAGTGCTCTTCCCGCTACGGTGTGAGATGCACTTTCGTACAGTAGGGGTGACAGTGCATGGGGTCAGTGTGTACAGGCGCTAGGCTAGGCCAGCAGATCTTGCAAAAATGGGGTGGGCGTTTGCTCCGGACTTTACGGTACATGTACATGTATGTGTAAAATAATGTGTAAAATAATGGTCTTGCTACCGATCTACGACTTTGACTTTTGTAGATCTACGAGTGTCGAGTACAGACTTGTCAGTACTACGAGTTCGTACTCGAGTTTGTAGCCAATGTAGGCCTAGCAGTGCACTACAGTCCATTCAGAAAAAAATGAACTTCTAGCTTTTGGCCATAAATGGGTCAAACGTTGAGTTTTTTTAGAATTTTTTTCTGCAATCCTCTATGGAATCCTCTTCCAATTCTGTTTCTGAAGTTTTTTTCTCCAAAAAGCAAGCCATAACAAGAATAGGATTTCGGCCAGGTTGTGCCCCCAAAGCATTGAATTGGGAAAAACCATAAAAATCCAGGCCGTTTGACCCCGTCTGCAACAGTGCATTAGGGAGGTTTCGCTCTACGGAATTACGTATGAAAATAACGTAGGAACTGCACGTAATTTTCATACGTAAAAATCAGAGCTGTTGGGTTTCGCTCTACGTGATTTCTCCACGACTGCTAAACATGCGTTGTTGCTTTGGAGACGCGTTGGCTGCATGCGCCCGCCGTATGCACCATGAACCGAAACCGCGTTTCCCTTTATATTTTGCACGTGGTGTACGGTGTGTGTACCTTGTGTTTCGCGCGGCTTGAACGTTGCCATGGACAAATGTGGAAAATGCGAAAAAATATTTCAAAAAGTCCTACGGAGGACCCAACGTATACGCGTAGGAAACAGCTTTCCTACGGAAATCCGTATAGAGATTTACGTATGAAAGTTGCCCTCGCTCCCCGGCGCGTACGACATACGGATTTTCATACGTAATTACGTAGAGCGAAACCTCCCTATTGTGCGGTTCGAACCCCAGTTCAGGTACCCTTTTTGGACCCTTTTTCAAATTTCAAATTTCGCAGCACTGCACTGTGTACGATGAAATCACGAAAAATCGCCAAATACGGGAGCTCGCCAGAGCCAGAGCCCATCTTTTTATGAATGGACTGTAGTAGTGGTACAGTGCATGCTAGCCTGATTTTTGTTTTGTTTTTTTGTTTGTTTATGTAGTAAAAGCCTCTTTTACGGGCGAACAAAACACGTGCTATAGCCTGATCGGGGACGACAATGACGACGCCGAGTCTAATCACCGTACCTGTAAAAAATTTGAATGATTCATTTCACAGATTCTGTTATGTTGATGTTATGACCGTAATTTAGCCTATGAGTATGAGTCTTTGCAATTGGTTTCGCAGTTTTGGTTGTTGATCCAGAATCTGTTTGCACTTTGTTTTGGTATGTCTGTGCATTGAGTTAAACATTTAGCAAGTGTGGCAATATGTCATCCGCTTCTAAGCTTGGCAAGAAGGAAGGAAAGCCACGGCGACTCAACTACCCAACAGTAGATGATCTTGTGGATACATTCGAGGAATTGCTAGAAATAGAACACGATGCAGAGGTTGAACAGAGTCAAGAAATCCTCTCCAGCCACAGCATTCGAGACTTGCTTTCTGCTGGTGTTTGCATGACAAATCTATCTCTGGAATCACAGTCGACTGGCTTCAATGGACGTCGTATTCTAAAGTTTTCTCCTGCGATACGTAGTGGTAGTTTCCAGAAGACCTCACTGAAGGCTGGCGATGTTGTCAGCATATGGGGCAATGAGGGCACAACTGAAGGTGACAAGGCGGATGGCTTGACCGGCGTTCTGACCCGTGTCTCGGGTGCGGATGTGGAGGTAGCACTGGATGACAAGCATAGCACGTACCAGGAGGCTAGCTCTGCAAACAGCAGATTTACCTTGCTCAAGCTTGCTAATGATGTCACGCACAAGAGATACAGAAGGTTAGTTCTTACTATCGCCTGCATGTATACATTGCATAGGCATACAATGTCTATTCCAATACGTATCCAGAAAATTAGATTTGAGTGCGAACCCGTGAAGCTTGATGAGGCCGAACTCCTCGATTTTGTCCGCCCTTGGCGACGGAACTCTTCATACCCCTTGAAATAAGCACACGCCTTCGTGTGAATGTGAAACCTGGCTTTGCAACAGGTGTATGCTCTCTCCTTACTGTGAGAGCCCACGAATATATTACTGGTGCCAACAGTTGGCTATTGGTGTTGTATTTTGAGAAGTTCTGCAAATTTTGAATGACGTTTCTCACAGCTTCATTGGAAATTATTACAGTTGTCAGCAACACTGCCTGACACTCAATATCTGCATGTTACACAAAGGCTTTTGAATAGATCAACATTTCCGTCATCATGGCTATCAACAGGGATGATTTGGACATGGGAACAGAGAGGTTATGAGTTCGTTTATACTTAAAGGGGAAGTTAAGGCTAAAATCAAAATTTCACCAGTTGTAGTCTTCGGGGTGCTGAGTCGAATGGTCTTGGTCCGAGGAAGCTGAGACGCTCCCTTCCTACTTTAATCCCAATCGAACTCGCGCACCTCCACCGAAACTGGGTGACTGTGCCCTACTAGATGGGGATTTGTATGCAAAATGTCACTAAAAGCGCCATTTCGTTCTTATAAAAGCACGGATGACCGCGATTGGCCCATACTGTAAATATACAAATTTTCGGCAGCTATTTAATTTCGGCTATATTCGGCACCGACCCAAAACGCCTAAATTAAAACGCCGATGAAATTTTTCACAGCATCTGTTGCACTATACCATGCCCTCTACCCCACGCCGAAAATAAATCGCCGCTGAAATGTCAAAAATCGTGAAGTGCCGAAATTTTGCAGCGCCGAAATTTTGGATATTTACAGTATGTTGTAGTCTTTTGGACACTGAGTCGACTGGTTTTGGTCCGAGAAAGCTGCGATGCAGCGTTCCTCCTTTATTCCAATCGAACATGGTTGAACAAGCTGTCACGTGCTCCTGCGTGCCCAAGTCACCTGGTCACAGCGCCAGCAGGCGACAACTTTCACACCAAGGTTCACCTCGAGTTCAACTCGAGTGACAGGACTGCACCCAAAAAAGGTCAAACAGGCTAGTAAGTTGTACCCTGCAGGCACGGTGACCAGGTGACTGGTGTACGCAGGAGCACGTGACCGCTTGTTCAACCATGTTCGATTGGGAATAAGGGCCGAACGCTGCATCGCAGCCTTTTCGGACCAAAACAAGTCGACTCAGCGGCCAAAAGACTCCAACATATGGGCCAATTGCGGTCATCCGTGCTTTTATAAGAACGCAATGGCGCTTTTAGTGACATTTTGCATACAAATCCCCATCTAGTAGGGCGCAGTCACCCAGTTTCGGTGGAAGTGCGCGAGTTCGATTGGGATTAAAGTAGGAAGGGAGCGTCTCAGCTTCCTCGGACCAAGACCATTCGACTCAGCACCCCGAAGACTACAACTGGTGAAATTTTGATTTTAGCCTTAACTTCCCCTTTAATGCTTCCTCTTGATTGTTTCTGTGTTGTGTTGGTGCATTGGTGTGCACAGGTGTATGACGCAGCTTCGCTCGCACATAGCAACGCCATTGATCAATGCTATTGTACACAACACCCACGATGGTGATATCATTCAAGGTATGCCGTTTGAAATGTTGCACACGGTGTCCCGACAGTTCACAGAAACCCAATTCGCAGAACGACAGTTCACCGAACGACAGTTCACTGAAGGACAGTTCACTGAATGACATTTCACAGACAGCCCATTTCACAGGATACCCAATTCACCGAAAGACAGTTCACAGAGCACTGTTTTCATCGACAGCCCATTTCACCGAATTTGATCAGGCATGCACTCAAAAATGCATTGTTTCGAAAGAAAGCAAAATATGAAGAATGAGAGTATGCACGTGTGACATGGTCATTTACTATACACAACATTGAACGCCAAATTATGCGCTACTCCACGGAGGAACTCTCTTGGTGGTCGCTGCTCGACGGACTGGAGCAGAGCCCTCAGCCGTTCCGCCTATTCGACAACATTGAACGCCAGATTATGTGCTACTCCACGGAGGAACTCTCTTGATGGTCGCCGCTCGACGGACTGTAGCAGAGCCCTCAGCCGTTCATCACATTGCTGATATCTCTTCTTCCGCTTAGGACCAGAGTTTCCTGCCACAAGCCGCTCAAGCTCTCGTTCCGTGGTGGCCTACTCCATTTTTAAACACTCGATAGCCTTCCAAATAGTCGGATGGTGGCAGGTGACTATCCATGCAAACCGACGATGCCATCCTTCTTGGGCATTGTTTGTGCGGTCCTCTCCCATCAGAGTGCGGTCGTGTACGTTCCACAGCGCAATCGGGAACAGTGGTGTCCGCCGTTGCCCATTTGGGCGGAGCGTTCCAATGTACGAATGCTCGAAGTAGGTGAGGATCGCCTCGGCGTCGTCGGGGAAATTATCCTCCACCGCTTCGAAGTAAGTGGCCACGTCCCCAGTTGGTACGAAAGCCAACGCTGGCAGCATTCGCAGGGCCACTGCAAATTGTGAATCCTGTGCGTAGCGCTCTTGGAGTCCGTTTGACTGGACACGACAATAAATGTTCTGGGTGAGATGAAAGAAGCAGCCTGTGCACTTAATTTAATTCCGGGGAATTTCAGTCTAAATGCGTTGATGTCACCTCTGGCGTGGATATTATTGTTGGTCACGCTGAAACTTACCCGTCCTGCCGAGGATCGAGCCGCATTTTCCCACTTTTTTCCACTCTCGGCGAAATGGGCTGTCTGTGAATAAGTCAGTCTGTGAACTGGGTTTTCATTGAATTGGGTGTCGGTGAATAGTGCATTCTGTGGGACTGGCACTCTGTGAAGTGTCATTCTGTGAGTTGGGAATCTGTGAAACGTCACACGATGAAATTGGATTCTGTGAACTGTCGCATAACCCACCATGCCGGCCTTCACACTCACTGACTCTGAGCATGAACTGCAGTTGTGGCAAGTGAATTCCGACCCAAAGTGCATCTCATCTATGTGGAGGACCTCGTATTTGGCGCCCCAGACTTGCGTGGCCCTTGACGCCCTGGAAGTAATTAGTTGTACGAATGCTGCGGGTCGTACATATGACTGTGTATGTATACATACTACACTAGTGTAATGGGAACTGATTTAGAGCGCCTGCTCTTCACGTTGGGTCGGACTTCACCTAGTGAAACATTACTTCCAAGTAGGACTGTATTGGACCAAAGGATATCAATAACGTAGAAGCTGCGACGAACTTGGCCACTTGACATTTTTTTATGTTGGTGTTTTGGTGTTGTGAATGTGGGCCAAGAGTGCAGTGTGGAGTGGTGGAGTGTTTCGAACAAAGGACATCAACTTGACCATTGACCTGGATGAGGATAAGTTCTTATGCACTTTTTGTTTTGCATTTTCTGTGCATTCTACAATCCCGCGTGTTGTGTATGCGTGATGATTAGACTGCACGAGTGTATCGCCAGATGATGTGCACTGGTTCAATGCGCGGCTGGATGACTCTCAGAGGCACGCCGTGCAGCTGTGCTTACCGCACATGCCACCACGTGACCGTGGTCCAAGCATTGCGCAGTCATCTCATACAGCGTACGCTGCACCTAGACCGGTGACGATTATCCATGGACCGCCCGGTACTGGCAAGACTACTACTGTAGTGGAGGTGATCAGGCAATATGTCAAGTTGGGCATGAAGGTAAGACTTAAAGAGACGGCTACATACTCTATTGTGTGTCTGTGAGTGAGTATGGGTGCATGAGTGAGTGTGTGTGTGTGTGTGTGTGTGTGTGTGTGTGTGTGTGTGTGTGTGTGTGTGTGTGTGTGTGTGTGTGTGTGTGTGTGTGTGCATGGGTGAGTATGTGTGCATGTGCATGTGGGTGGGTGTGTGGGGTGGGGGGTGGAAGGGTATACGGACGCGAATGTGTGAGCGTGCATGTGTGTGTGTGTGTGCATGGGTGAGTATGCGTGCATGTGCATGTGGGTGGGTGTGTGGGGTGGGGGGTGGAAGGGTATACGGACGCGCATGTGTGAGCGTGCACGTGTGTGTGTGTGTGTGTGTGTGCGCAAATGTGCATGTATATGTCGTACGCATGCGTGCTTGTGTGTGCACGCATGTGTAGCGACTTGTTGACGAGAATTAGTAGTGTCTATATTCTGTGTGGTGTAAACCCATGCCAGGTTAGGGAAGAGTCTGAATTTGTCAAATTAATTTTCATCAGGACTGTTGGTGCTTCAACGTTTTGCCACATATGCACCCAGTCCCACAGGCCCAATGCATGTCTGAAATGCTCTGAAGTGCAAGTTTCTAGCATATCAAGCCACAGTCTTGCCCTTCATCAGTTCAGGTGTGATGTTTAGTACTCGTACACTCCTATCTCTCTTATCCGAGCGATCCAAGACTGCCGATAACTTCAAAATGTCCGTAATTCTGAATGACATGCGTTTCAATGGGGAAGGGTCAGATATCTGGCACATGGCGCCAATATTTCGACAATAAAAATGGCAAAGGACTAAGGAGTATTGTTATTTCCACTAAACCTCGTCCACAATGTGCCTGCTAGACCGAGGTGCCCGTAACGTTGCCGTAACTTTGAGGTCCATCTAAGAAAGGTACGTTCGGGCCTGGTTTAAATCTGGCTTTGGAAAATTCATTTTTCATTGCTACCTGGTTCGGCCTCATTTTCTCTGTGCTGCGCTGATGAGTCCACAAAGGGCAAAACAGTTCTTTCCGCAGATTAAGAAAGATATGAGTGTACATGTAGCACGGTGCTGCACTAATATTACTAGAGAAGAGATACGACCGAACATGACAAGCACCCTTACCAGTATGTGTGTGTGTGTGTGTGTGTGTGTGTGTATGTGTGTGTGTGTGTGTGTGTGTGCGCGTGTGCATACGTACGTACGTACGTACGTACGTGTGTTGGGTTGCTTGTAGATCTTGGTGTGTGCTCCATCCAACGTGGCCGTGGACAATCTCGTTGAGAAGCTAGCAGCATGCCGTCCAGTTGTGAAGGTAAGGGAACTAGTGCATGTACATTGCATCTGTTATTGTTTCTTCCATTGCTGTTGTATCTACATGTACAATGTACAATGTACGCAGTGCTCACTGACTTGTCAATTTGAGCACTCTGGCAAGGTACTTTCGGGCCTGGTTTAAACCTGGCTTTGGAAAATTTATTTTTCAATGCTATCAGGTTCGGCCTCCTTTTCTCTGTGCTGCGCTGATGAGTCCACAAAGGATGAAACAGTTCTGTCGCCAGATTGAGTGTACAATGGTTTTAGTGAAGTTGTTAGCACCACTGTACTCCTCGCTACACGAAACTCATGCTTCGCTGTAGCCGGCGGCACAACATGGCAGATACATGCAATCATAGTGTTGCTTCAAGGATCTGCACAAACACTGGATACTAGTAGTAGTTGACGTTTTCACGCAGGGTTGCTTTCCCTAATAGTAGTACATTGTACTGTATTGCGCTCTGGTGTTCCGATTTTGTACAGATGAAACGACTGGGCCACTCCGCTCGCGTAATGCCTGGCCTGTTTCGTCACACACTGGAGTTCTCCTTAGTGAACGGAGAAGGTGCTGATGTCATCCGTGAACTGCGCCAGGAGATTGACACCAACATGGTGAGTACACTACGGTGGAGAGCTGTAAGCAGCACAACGGTGATACTCACAATACTATGTAAGAGAGCAGGGGCGTCGCACATGCTACGGTCACTACGGTATTGACTGTACCACTATTTGCCCCAAGTACCCCGTGATTCAATAAAATGCACTGATTCGGGCTCTAAATTTGCAAAATTTTCGGCTCAGACACCCCTCCCCCACGAGTAAATTGTACAGTTCAGATGGCTGACCGTACCACACTAAATAATTACCTTCCGACGCCCCTGTACAGTATGTATACGCTCCAACGTCTTATCCACATGCCTCAGGTGCAGGCGCGCTTGTGCGCCGGAGGCACTGTCAGCTTTGATTGCTGGTTCTGGTTTTTTGAAGCTTTTTTGAAGCTTTTTTTCTCATCATCTCCCAGGTTGTAAGTTACAACAGACTTGGTGAATGTGTACCTGCCTTGTGAAATGTGATGAGAAATGCAGTGAGGAGCTGTAGATATAGCATGTTGAGAACATTGCATTCCCAACTCATCACAACCACGCGCTCTTCAGCCGAACCATACAGACACCAGCAAGGACACTTCCGTTGAGAGATAATATTGCTCCACGCCTCTAGACAGCTGTTTTGCTCCCTGTCGGAGCTCATCAGTAGAGGATGATAATGATGATAATGGAGGAATGATCATTCTTATACACCAGAAATGGCGCAAGTGCGCGCTTTCCACATATATCAATGGCATATGCAAGCTGCTAAAATGGTAAAGTGTGAAACAGCGAAACAGCTGTCTAGAGGCGTGGAGCAATATTATCTCTCAACGGAAGTGTCCTTGCTGGTGTCTGTATGGTTCGGCTGAAGAGCGCGTGGTTGTGATGAGTTGGGAATGCAATGAATTGAAAATATGGCCGAAAGCTCTGTCGCAATATTCAGTTCTGATGTTGAGAACATGTCGTATCTATATGGGTGTACATGCGGTGTGCGTTGGTCTACAAGGACGAATGGGAAACCTGAGTCTGAGTTACAGGTGGCATTCGGTCCCAACAACACGCTTGGATAAGAGATGTTCGTATGTATGTGAGCTGCATATCTGCATGCTTATCACTCGTTGCTGCAAAAGAAATCGGAATCCAAGCATGCAGCTGTTATTGGCTTCATACCAATACTCTTGATGGGGGCTTGTAATGAAATTCGTGTTGAGTGGGTCAGCTAGGAGTGTTCATGAAGACCTTGTTTCAGATGTCCCTGCATGTATTTTAAACTGTTTTAATCAACTAGCCAACCAGCAGAATGTTCACCTTGAAACAGGTTGAACTGGTACTGTACACACCTGGGATAAAAAAGGGGGTGTGTGGGGGTTTGTGTATTCGACACCGCATTCTTTGATCAGTCCAGAATAGTAAATAAGAATGCATGTACCAACGTGTGTTGGTGACCACTGTGTGTGTGTGTGCGTGTGGTCTGCTACTTGATGCTGTTGTTGTCGTTGTTGTTGTTGTTGTTGTTGTTGTTGTTGTTGTTGTTGTTGTTGTTGTTGTTGTTGTTGTTGTTGTTGTTGTTGTTGTTGTTGTTGTTATGCTTGCTGTAGCTGAAGGTCCAGGCTGTTCGCAACCCAGAAGCAAGGAGGAAAATGTGGGCCGAAATCAAAGGCCTGCGTAAAGATCTCGTTCAGCGTGAAGCAGTAAGTTGTAGCCTTGTAACTTTCTCATAAGAACTCTCTCAACAGGCGGACAGTCTCTTTGCTTCAAACATCGTTTTCTTCACAAAATCTCCGGGCATAGCCCGTCGCCAGGGTGATAAGATTTAATTGAGCACTCTGCGCAATAAAGGAGGAATTAGAATTACCATAATACCGGTATGTGGTAAAGTAAAAGATGTCACATTGAAGAGATTGTTCGGGTATTTGAGACGGGTTGTGTGTAAGCGGCTGAGTTGCAGAATTCAAAAGGTGTTCCTTAAGCTATGGTTTGTAGCAGGTGAGGTACATTGTGCAGTGTGCCTTGCCATAGACCGAGTACATGTCACATTCGTGGAGGAGGCTTGACTCCGCCAATGGTATTTATATGTAATGTTCCTCCAGAGTTCTTCATGTACCAGTAGATTTGGTGTTCCTTGACATCAACACTGTATTGTACATGACCACTCTTGTCTGTGCCTGTGTGTGTGTGTGTGTCTGTGTCTGTGTGTGCGTGTGTGTGTGTGTCTGTATCTGTGTGTGTGTGTGTGTGTGTGTGCGCGCGCGTGTGTGTGTGTGTGTGTGTGTGTAAGGTGTGTGTATATGTGTGTGTATGTGTGTCTATGTGTGTGTGTGTGTGTGTGTGTGTGTGCGTGCGTGCGTGTGTGCGTGTGTGTGTGTGTGTGTGTGTAAGGTGTGTGTATATGTATGTGTATATGAGTCCACAAAGGACGAAACAGTTCTGTCCGCAGATTGAGTATGTGTATATGTATGTGTGTGTGTGTATGTGTGTATGCATATGTGTGTGTGTATGTGTGTGTGTGTGCATGTGTGTGTGTGTGTGTGTGTGTGTGTGTGTGTGCGTGCGTGCGTGCGTGCGTGCGTGTGTAGTAAAGTAACTCTAATTTCACTTCAAGGTACCAGTACATCTAGTGTCTCCTTCTATCAAAGCAGCATGCTCTCTACACTGGTTACCCCAGCAAGTGTAGGGTGTGCATAGGTTACTGTCTTGGCCGTTTTATGCCGATGTACGTACACTCCGTGTGGTGTAGACCAGGTGTGCATTGGTGGCCGATTCACATGGTTTCGCAGGTTTTGTCGATTGGGCAGTTATCTGGCGCGAGTCTTGATCTGTCTCATTCAGATCTTGTCCGCTATCATTGCTATAAGAGAAAATCTGTGGGTGCACAATTGCACATCCAGTGCATTTGCAGATTTGCGTGCTTCTCTTGCGACGGGCGTATACATGGTGCATGGTACATGGTGTGTGTGTGTGATGGTGCATGTGTGTGTTGGTGCATGTTTGTGCATGTTCGTGTGCGTGCTTGTGTGTTCTGTTTGCTGCTACAGAGGCGTATCAAGGAACATCTATCCCGTGCGGATGTTGTTCTGTCAACTCTGACATCAGCCTCACCGGATAGCCCTCTCAGGTATAGGGCTTACTGTAAACACCTTCTTGCTTTGCACGTGTCAACGCTATTCTTCAGCAAAGTTCTTTTAGTCATGGACAGGCAGGATGTTTGATTAGTCAGTGGTGCCATGATCATGATGTTGTGCAGCTTAGCTATAGACTTGCTGTAGAGCCACAACAAATTGAAATAACCTGTTTTATTCCGTTCCCAGTGGGTGAATTGCTGTAGTTGTTGTATAGTTCAATTTATGGACAAGTACTGGTACATGCATATCTACCGTACTACCGTTCTTTTTATGGTGTCTCTATTTTTTCACATCTATATGACTTTATCTTACCCGTAAAAGAGGCCGTTACACCGAGAAAAAAAGAAGAAAAGCGTGAATAGTGCTCTCTCTCTCTCTCTCTCTCTCTCTCTCTCTCTCTCTCTCTCTCTCTCTCTCTCTCTCTCTCTCTCTTTTCTCGCCTGTCCACAGTTGTATAGTGAAACTTGTAGGTGATCTTTGCTGGCACGTCATTATGTGGACAATGAAACTTTAGCCGAATATGTCTGTCTCTCTGCCTGTCTGCCTCGCTGTCTGTCTCTACCTCTGTGTAATGTTATCTGTCTGTCTGCCTCGCTGTCTGTCTATATATCTGTGTAACGTTGTCTGTCTGTCTGCCTCTCTGTCTGTCTCTACATATCTGTGTAACGTCGCCTGTCTGTCTGCCTCTCTGTGTGTTGTGTGTGTCCACTGCAGACATCTGGAAAGCGATCATTTCGGTGTTGTCATTGTTGATGAGGCTGCACAGGTAGGTACTGGTGGTATTGCTGTATTGCAAGGGATTAGCGAACATGCATACACACATACATCTACGCATACGTAGATGATGAACATGAAGATGATACAATCAGGGCCAGCGGGGTAGCTTGATTGGAGTGCTTGATGCACCAGAGTGCAGAGCGGTATGCGCGCGCACACACACACACACACACACACACACACACACACACACACACACACACACACACACACACACACACACACACCATGTACACACACACACACACACACACACACACACACACACACACACACACACACACACACACATATACACATGCCCGCACGCGCTCACCCACACATGCCCGCACACGCTCACACACACACACATGCCCGCACGCACACACACACACAATACACACACACAGAGGACACGAGACACTGTATCTGCTCTAACTGATTACAATTTCCTGTTGTTCTGCGTGCTCTTGCCCGACAGAGTATTGAGCCAGCCTGCTGGATACCTTTAGTGCAGGCATCATCGTGTGTACTAGCTGGTGATCATCAGCAGTTACCACCCACAGTTATCTCACAACGGTATGCCTTCTGCTGCTCTACAGTCTTTAGGAGCATTCAGTGTGTGTGTGTGTGTGGGGGGGGGGGGGGGGGGGAGGGGTGTGCGTGTGTCTACAATCTGCAAAGACATTCAGCATGTGTGTCCATAATCTGTATGGGCATTCAGCATGTGTGTCCATAATCTGTATGGGCATTCAGTGTGTGTGTGTGTGTGGGGGGGGGGGGGGGGGGTGTGCGTGTGTCTACAATCTGCAAAGACATTCAGCATGTGTGTCCATAATCTGTATGGGCATTCAGCATGTGTGTCCATAATCTGTATGGGCATTCAGTGTGTGTGTCCATAATCTGTATGGGCATTCAGTGTGTGTGTGTCTATACTCAAGAGTACATGAAAACCCGAGTGTGCAGCTTGGGGCCTTTTCTGCCATGGGTGTCTGTCACGGCCGAATTCCGTGATTACATCATATTTGGCACAGATCTGAGGCGAGAAATGGCGTAGTGCATACAACTGAGCTGCAGTTGTGCAGAAAGAGACCTGCTTGAATCCTGCTTGTACGCACTACATCACTAAAATGATGTAATCACGGAATTCCGCCGTGACAGCAACCCATCCGAGCTGCACACTCTGGTTTTCATGTACTCTTGCTATAAGTTGTAAGGGCATTCAGCGTGTGTGTTTATTATAGTAGACTATAATCAGATTATCTGTAGGGGCATCCAATGTGTGGGTTTACAGTCTGCAGTCTACAGTCCTAGTCCGTGCACATCATCATACCATTACCAACAACTTACTACCCCTATGAGACATATAGCCTATTTCCCAGCTCTCTGTTATTATTATGTTGCCAAGTTCGCAACTCGGAGCTGCAACAAATCATTCTGACTTCTGCGTTAGAAAGCCCTGCACCCGATGCATTGGGCAATGTGTGGCCAGTGGAAGCTCAGCTCTCCGGGTATTGGGCAATGTGTGGCCAATGGAAGCTCAGCTCTCCGGTTGGTCCCGTGTTCGGACGAGTGGGTCCCGTGTTCGGGTTTGTGGGGTCCCGTGTTCGGATGAGTGGTTCCAGGGTAAAGATGAATAGATCCCGGGTACAGATGAGCCTTTCCAATCTGCTTCCCATTGCAACTGGGCAGATTTAGTATTTCGTTCCTGCTCTTGTAGCAGTTGAGCACTCTTGTGTGGGGTAGTGCCTTGACTGTTTGCGTTGTGCAGAGCTCACTGACTTGTCAGTTTGAGCACTCTGGCAAGGTACATTCGGGCCTGGTTTAAATCTGGCTTTGGAAAATTTATTTTTCATCGCTATCAGGTTTGGCCTCATTTCCTCTTTGCTGCGCTGATGAGTCCACAAAGGACGAAACAGGTCTGTCCGCAGATTGAGTGATGGCAAGAGTACATAACCAAGAGTGTGCAACTCCTACCTCGAGCTGTGATGGGTTCACCCATGGCGGAATTTTTTTATTGTGTCATTCTTGGGCAGAAGTATGACCAAGTGTGTATACTTTCCCGCACTTGTTTTGTACAATGTGTGTAGATACGATGAGAGTTCATCAGGTTCAGGACACATCGATCTATCGCCCGTTGTTCTGCGTCGACTACCGTAGCTGCAAAGTACTAATTCTTTGTACTTTGATATCTGGCTACGCATGGTGGCATCAGTGAGCCAAACAGCCGCCAAAGACTGATGTCATAAAAACATTCCGCTGTGGGCTGGGGGATCTTCGAGTTGCACACTCTTGATTATGTACTCTTGATGATGTCTATATAAGCATGGCAGGCTATACACACAGGTTACCACTGTCTCTGGCTTGTACCCCTCAACTAGGGGGCAGATGCGGGCAGGTTCGGGGTAGGTACGGGGCAGGTACGGGGTAGGTACAGTGCAGTGCATACTGTAATCAGTGTGTGCCACGGTTATGGGCTGCACAATGTACATGTACCAGTCTCAGGGTTTTTGTTTGTTTGCTGTTGATAATACAGCGTGCCATGCCGGCTGGATGCCGTTGCCTTTGCCATTACTACAACTGCAGCTATTTCTTATCTTTATTTTCACTGCTGTTGTTGTTGTTGCTGCTGCTGCTGTTGTTTTTGTTGTTGTTGTTGTTGTTGTTGTTGTTGTTGTTGTTGTTGTTGTTGTTGTTGTTGTTTTTGTAGTTGTTGTAGTTGTTGTTGTTGGTGGTGGTGGTGGTGTTGTTGTTGTTGTTGTTGTCATCATCATGGTCATCATGGTGTTGTGTGTTGCACTTGCAGAGCAGCTAATGCCGGATTGGAAGTGACCATGATGGAGAGGCTAGTGGCACAGCACCCCACTGCAATGCTGACCTCACAGTACCGGTAAGGAATGGCATCATGTTTGTACTTCAGTACTACTGTTGAAGCATGATAGGTGTGCATGGATTATGGAATGTGTTTTGAGTCTTTTGACACATTCAAATATTCTGATTGTAAGGCTGTGGTCATACCAAGCCATGATATTGCCTCCGTGTGCCTAACGCACTGAAATGACTCTGGGAGAAAATCCAATGCCCAAACCTGACCCCGATATAGATTACGGGTATGAAAATGAATTGCATGGACATGTGACTATGTCTGTATCCTGTTCTTAGCTGAGTTTTGACCATGTCTGAGGCAATATGCTAGCCACCACCTTGCAGTGCATTGATATGTGCCTGTGTTTGCCTGTGCCTTGCCTGTGTACTGCCTGCAGTATGCATCGTCACATCATGCAATGGTCTTCTAATCATCTTTACCATGGGCGCCTTGTCGCTCATGACAGCGTCGCTAACCACCTTCTCAGGTATGGTAAATCATCTCTCTCTCTCTCTCTCTCTCTCTCTCTCTCTCTCTCTCTCTCTCTCTCTCTCTCTCTCTCCATGGGTATCTCCCTCTCAGGCTGTGCAGCTGAAGGAGCACTGGTTTCATTTCTTGGTGTGTCTTTCTTCAGAGACTTGCCAGGTGTAAAGGGCGAGGAGTACAGCACAGACGTGCCACTGCTGCTCATCGACACTGCAGGATGTGACTTGGAAGAGCTACCGACTGAGTCGGATATGTCGAAGGGCAATGAAGGTAACATATGTTCCTGTTTGTGTGTTCATTCATTGCCATGCTCTAGTTTTGGTGTAGAGAACTCCCAAGAAGCTCCTGTTGTTTTGGTAATGATGAGACTGGACATCATATCATGCAAAGCTCTTAGGCAGTTCAACTTCGGCCATGTTATGGCTGAATTTCGTGTTCCAGCCGCTTTTCATGTAGTAGCTACCTACCTTCTCTATATGTATGTCATCTTGCCATTGTGTCTTGTGTGAACACTCCCTGTTTGTTCTGGCAGGTGAAGCGGATTTGGTTGTAGCGCATGTTCAACAGCTACTTGACCTGGGCCTGAAAGCGGAAAGCATTGCCGTAATATCACCTTACAACTTACAGGTCGGTAGCTTCAGTGCTGGCATTGTCATTTGCATGTTGACGTTGAAGTGTATCGGCAGGATGTCGAGTTCACAGTTTTGCATCCGCTGATTGGCTTGGATGAAAGGAGAAAGGAAAGATTGTGTGGAGGCACCATTATTATATGATACACAATAACACAGTCCTGGCACAGACCTAATCGTGTACTTTGAAGTATTATTATTTGGGGGTGAAAGTTGGCACTGAGATCCCGAGTTCGAGTACTCTGATTTTCTCCGATCGAATATTCGAGTATTTTTCATCTCCTAAAAATTGCACACCAAGGGCTTTAAAATAACATGATACAACCCTGATTGAACCGAGTAGCAGTCATTTTCTCGGGTATATCGGTTGGTGGGTCATTTGGGCTCTCTCTACTCGTGAACAAATGTTCACCACACAGCCTGCACATCACCATCTGCCGACTGCTGCCCTGAAACTGCAGATTTCTGTAGTAAATGCATGTACCATGTATGAACGAGTACTCTAATTTATTCCGAGTACGATTATTTTTGAAAAAACCGAGCGAGTACTCGAGTACTCGGTATAATTGTTTCACCCCTATTATTATTACATAAGTGTGTAGATGTGTGTGTGTGTGGGTGTGTGTGTGTGTGTGTGTGTGAGTGGGGGGTAGAAATCGTTGAAGTCGGCAGCAGTGAATCTTTTCCTTGGACTCGTGTTTTCTCAGGTGGATATGACTAGTAAGCGTCTACAAAGCCGCGGACATCAAGTTGAAGTACGGTCTGTTGACGGATTTCAGGGCAGAGAGAAGGAAGCAGTTGTCCTCTCGCTGGTTCGATCAAACTCCGAAGGTAAGTGAGTGTAGTCGATTAACTTCATTCAAGGAGAAAAAGGAAAGGAGAGGGAGCAACTCAGTGCAAATTATTTTGCAGTGTGCGTGGTGACTGTCATTTCCGTATGGTCACCATGGTGACCATGGTGAGGCGGCACATAATGCGAAGCAGCCACTGCAGTACATTGACCGAAGAGTACAATGCAACACATGACGAACAAGTGGGCAATGTTAACAACCAGCCTATCTGCATGTGATAACATGTATAGAGGATTAGCATTACATACGACACTATTAATGTTGATTAATCTTTTTTTATGTTGAGTTGTATGTAGGGGCAGTTTGCCACAAACTGTAAAGACAGGCCAGTTGTCTATTGACTCTATTTCTAGCAGGCGTATCTGTCGTTGTTCTGCGGCTACCTTGAGCAACATGCTCTCGATGACAGAATTACTGAGTCAGTGTGCTTGTATGATTAGCTAACTTCTAGCGTTAGGGCTTGCACCATATGCAGTGCTGATCCTCTGTAATGCTTCTACTAGTCTTTATCAATGGGCAAATAATATTATGTGTGTGCATGTGTGTGTGTGTGTGTGTGTGTGTGTGGGGGGGGGGGGGGGGGGGGGGTGCCAGCTAGTTCGGTTGGTGGGTACACTTATGCCGGATAGTGTTGGGTCTGTTGCCAACGGGCTCGGCTGCTTGAAGGTGTAATGTTGTACCTACCACCTTTGTTGGTTTCAGGGTTCATATACTTTCTATTTGAAGTATACATACCGTGTATTCTCTATTATAAGCACAGGTCTCCATTACTAGCACGGTCTCTAATACTAGCACACTGTGAGCACCTTTCGAAACATTATAAGCACGGTCTCTATTATTAGCACGGTCCTGTTGGAAATCAATGCGGCATGCATGATATCTAGCATGTATTTCGTCTTGCTCCGTATGGATGTATTGGTTGAAAAAATATAAGCACGGTCTCCAATATAAGCGCGGTCTCCAATATAAGCACGGGGTAGAGGGGTGTTGAAAAAATATAAGCACGGCGCTTATAATAGAGAATATACGGTACCTGTTACCCATGGACTACTTCTGGCTAGATTAACTCTTGTGTAATCATGGTGCTAGTGAAGCTTGTATCAGATCCACTCTGATTTGGCCACCCACACTAGTAGCAAGTATTACCTTCACTGGGGGCAGGGGTAACTGCAGTTGGATCCCGGGACGGATACCCTGATGCCGCCAATCCTTTTTCTGCACCTTGTCCTCACCCACTTACTGAGGTGTGGTGAGCCCATAAGTGGGATCATTTTCAAGTCCACCCAGAGTTTTGGGGATTTCAGGGGGTGTCGGCCGTTGGGCGGTTCAATAGCCAATTGAGTCATCTTTCCAAGATTCCTTTTGAGTCTCTCTCCCCTCTCCTGGGGAGACCCACGTGACCAGTTTTGGCAGTGAGCAACAAGTACAAGTACAAGTGTGTGTGTGTGTGTGTGTGTGTGTGTGTGTGTGTGTGTGTGTGTGTGTGTGTGTGTGTGTGTGTGTGTGTGTGGTGTGTGTGTGCTCATGCTTCACTGCAGGTAATGTGGGTTTCTTGTCGGAAGATCGGCGTCTGAACGTTGCCATCACACGTGCACGTCGGCATGTGTGCGTTGTGTGCGACTCTGAAACGGTGCGGCACAATGCTGCCATCAACTCTCTGCTAGACTACATGGAGGAAAACGGAGAAGTAGTCAGCGCAGCTACATACCAGCAGGGTGAGGGCGTAGACTTACTGGAGCCGTAGGCCATGTTGCTGCCCTGCAAGATAAGGACCCAACGACCAAGTACCTGAACTAATTTGTGTTCTTTATGGGAGCAGAAGTGGTGCAGCTGCAATATAGGCCCCAGCTGATCAACTGAAGCAGCACCTAACCACTCGGCACCCTCTTGCACTAGGTTCTCCTGTAGCATTGCGTGGAGATTGCATGTGGGTCTTTGTCTGTGAAGCTGCTCTGTCGTGTTTAGCTCTACATGTAGTGAGAATGTAGTGAGAAAAAGGCATGGAACATGGTGACAATGACTGTTGTAGCTGTAACCAACATAGTCTGGTGCTAGTGCCACAGTGTGTGTTGGTGCAAGTGCGATTTTGTTTTTGTTGCATTTCTGCATGCCTGGCCGGACGTAATGTATATTCTGTGTGTGTGCACGCGCACGTGTGTGTGTGTATGTGTGTGTGTGTGTGTGTGTGTGTGTGTGTGTGTGTGTGTGTGTGTGTGTGTGTGTGTGTGTGTGTGTGTGTGTGTGTGTGTGTGTGCGTGTATGCGTGCTTGTGTGAACATCCTGGTGTTTGTAGAGCATTCAATCGGTCAAGGCCATACTTCCAGTGTGGACTTGAGAAAGTCCAGAGCTCGCCAGGCACATTCATTGAAGCAGACTCTACCAGAGAAACAGAAGGTGAATTCATGTACACTGCGTATGGCTATGTACTCATGTCCTCTGTTGTTCCCTGTCGTTTGCACATTCCTTGCCATTGTGTTGTGTTACTTGAAGTTTCGTTGAAGTCCAAATTTTCGACTGTACAACTACCAGTAGGTTGATCGTGTTCGAAGTTCATTCTTAGTGTGTCAGGATTCTCTAATTTAGTCACGGTGGGCAGCTCAGGAGTATCTAAAATATTTGGTGCAGAATATAATTGTACATGTAGTGCATTTATAGTGCGTTGCAGGCAGGCGTAGTGGGGTAGATCATAGTAAGACCATGACTGAGAAACAGAAGGTACCAGACTCAAGTCCTGCTTGGAAGTGGGAGGATTTTCAGCCGCGCTGCAACCCACAGGTAACCTCGCCTCTCACCGTTTTAGGAGCTGCACCTGCGCTTTGATACCTGAGGTTGGTGACGTATTTGCTGAAGCGGGAAAACTCAATCTAGCTAGAGTCTCACGCGAACCGTGATTTGTTATCTCGGTGTCTATTACTGGGTGATCTGTAATCATGTGTTCTGTGTGTGTGTGTGTGTGTGTGTGTGTGTGTGTGTGTGTGTGTGTGTGTGTGTGTGTGTGCGGGCGTGCATGTGTGTTAGGGCGCCGCAAAGAAGGCTGACAAGTCTGGCGATGCCAACAAGGAAGAGCTCACCGTGACCAAGTCCGGTGATGATGTCAAATCCACTGCAGCACCGGCCATGTGTACTGAGGATGGCAAGACCACCAGTAGCAACAATAGCGGAACTGATTCAAATTGCACGCAGGCAACTGCTGTGGAACTGGGCAAGGCTGATCCTGCCCCTCTGCAGACGCAATCAGTGGATACCCATGAACCTGAGGTTGCTGAGGAACTGGGAGATGCACAGAAGGAGAAGGAGGTCAGCGCTTTCACTGGCAGTAGTAATAGTGAACCAATTGTCTCTGCTAGTGACCCTGCGGATTCTCACGAAGTTCCTTCTCCTGCGACAAAGACCGCCGTGGCACTTAGCTCACCAGCAGGCAGCGAATCAAGAGCAGACCCAGTGTCCAGACCTATTGCACAAGCTAACAGAGGTGCTGATGCCACACGTACCAACTCTGCGAAAACACCTGGTAAGTTAGTTCATGTCCAGGGTTTGTTCAGAACCAGGCCACCCCCACTCTCTTTCTCCTGCTATTCTGACACACTTTCATTATCAAAATAATTAATAATTCATTCAAATTCTTCCCCTGTCGGCCGCTATGTCTATTTGAAACTGCTTGTGAGGAACCCTTGCATTACACGCTGTGGAAAGAGAGAGCATGTCTTGAAGGTTGACTGCATGCGTGTTGCATTCATGCACTGTGCCAGACCTGCCTTGCATTAGTTTGTGCACCCCCCCCCCCCCCCGTGCTTTTCATCAGGTGTAGTTTGAAAGAGCAAACACTGATTGTATGTGTGTCACATATCTCTATTGAAAACAATTGAATAGTATCTTCGGGTAATATGTGCACTACTTGCACGAGATACTCTTCTGCAGGGTAGATTTTATTTTTATTTCTACCGTTTCCATCTGATGTTTCAGACACAACAGCAATGGGCAAGTGCGCAAAGTGCATGGCTGCCGTACCATCCGCTAACCTGGCTCTGCATGAACTGCGCTGTCCTGGCGTTGCTGCCAAGTCAGCGACCAAGTCTGCAGCAAAGCCAGTGTCACAGGCAGCAGCCGCCACTGCCACCGCAGCCACAGCAACTGCAGCAGCTTCTACGAAGAAAAAGAAGCAAAAGGCAAAGGCCGCACCTGCTGGCGCTGCATCAAAGATGGTTTTGGAATCGGACAACTTTGATGAGATGCTGGAGGAAGTGAAGAAGATTGATACCACATGTAGTTTCCAACCCTGTAAGAAGAAGCTCAATCTGGTCTCAGGTCGCTGCTCCTTTTGCACGCGCTCATTCTGCTTTTCCCATGTACAAGCTGAAGTTCATGGTTGTGGCGATGCGGCGCGACGTGAGGCGCGCCGTGCAGCATCTGCTCCCGCTCACAAAGCAGCTAGCAAACAAAAGGCGGCGCTGCAGCGCAAACTGCAGAAGCAGCTGGACGAGAAACAAGCTAAGCGAGCTCACAAGGAGAAGCACTGAGAGTCCCAGGGACCCCGTTGTGCAACATTCACGTTGATTGGACGATATCATCACTTCATTGGGGGAGGGGGTACTAAAAAATGAATTTTCTGATACACACACGCACAGACACACACGCACACACACACACACAGAGTTTGGATTTTTTTCTTCAAGTATCTCTATTACTCACGGCATACCATACTCATTGTCATTGCTGTTTTGCTTTCTATGTAGCCATTTCCATTTTTCTCCCCTTGTCACTCTCAGAGCCGTACAGTGATGTTGCTTTTCTTCTTCTCAAACAATCGACTCTGAACCGTGCTGGAGGCTGAATACTTTGATGTGAAATTCCATTGCGTAACCCAGTCTGCAGGTGACCTGATGTCCGTTGATCGGACCAAAAAATAGTTATCTTCTTTTCGCCCGGAAATTCGTCAGTTTCTTGAAGCTGAGCTTCATTTCGCTGTTGTAATTATTTTTAGTTCTCTACCATGTCCACACACTTTAGAAAAGTACAATGTGTAAGAGTTTGTTTACCCGTTCTGTCATTGTAATGCCGTATTTTAATTTATTTTCTCTGCTTTAGCCGATCCAGCCAGGACACATTGAATCACTGAAATAATCATTGCTCGCGCAGTGGACTGCATAATTATTATCCTCTCCATAGTATTACCAGCGTTGTCTCAATCGTAACCATGCTTGCAATGGAAATACATGTACGTGGGGATCAGGGAGTCGTAAAATACACACACACACACACACACACACACACACACACACACACACACACACACACACTTGCTCTCTCTCTCTCTGTCTCTCTCTCTCTCTCTCTCTCTCTCTCTCTCTCTCTCTCTCTCTTTCTCTCACACACACACACACACACACACACACACCACACACGCACACACACACACACACACACACACACACACACAATACGTACACGCACGCACACGTCGTATTTTACGACTCCCTGGTTAGGAACACAAGTGCATTGGGTAGATCTACGCTGTCCCTCCAGGAAATCGCGATTCCACGGGTGCAACAAATTTCGTGATTTTCGCCCAAACCCGCAATTTTCAGCAAAATCCCCGATTTCCCGCGTTTTTTGTTGTTTCCTGCACTATATCTCACTTTTTTCTGCACCTTTCACGCGGTACTTTCCATGATCCTGTAGGTTATTTGCATAGTACGACTCGGACTACTCCCGTGTAGATATACGATGCAACAAATTTCGTGATTTGGCCCAAATCCGCAATTTTCTGTAAATAATTCCACGAATTCCTGGCAAGTTCTGCATCATTCCGCACTTTTCGTCGCATTTTTTGTTGTTTTCTGCCGCAATTTCTTGCGCAAGTTTTCGAGAGTTTTTTCCGCAAATTCCCGCAGGGACAGGATCTACGCAGCAGTGCTCATGCTGCCCAAAGACGTACATGTAGCCATTGTCTTGTAACAGTTAGGTACTAAAACCGGGGGGGGGGGGGGGGGGGGGGCAGCCGAAACTCTTGAGTCAGCCAGTGCTCGCATTGACCGCGAACGGGAGGAATGCCAGCATGCATTGTTACGGCGATACCGGACCATACCGAAATTATCTATGAACATGTCTACATGTAATGGGGTTCTGGGACTACAAACTAACTACTCAGTAACTTCAAACTTCGGGAGGTGTTTTCTAGCTGGATCGACAGTCAAAAAGAAGATTGGACAGGTCAGCGGCCGAATGCCAAAGTAGTTGTTCATTCAGTTTTTATTTACTCGAGAGCACAGAGCCACCAGTATACGAGATTGAACAGAAGTAGAAGAGAATACTGTATAGCAGGACATTTTCGGACGGAAATATTTTCGGACAAAGCCAAAATTCCACCTTTCATACGGATTTTATTTTCGGGCAGTGCTGCATGCTAAATGCACGTGTTCGCAAGCAGTACGCACGTACAGTGTACATAGTTTCACATGAACAATTTTTAGTACGGAATTAATTTTAGTACAAAAGAGGCCGTGTACGAAATCGTACGAAAATAAATTCCGTCCGAAAATTTCCTGCTATACAGTAGGTGAGATAGGAGGATAGCTGGAACAAGAGAGGGAAGAATATACAGTAAAACCTGGTTTTTAAAAGCGACCACCCCACGGTGCAAGGAGAAGCGGTCGTTAACCAGGTGGTCTTTAGAACCAGGTCCCAATGTCTGTGTACTGTCCCTCCAGGAAATCGCGATTCCACGGATGCAACAAATTTCGCTATTTTGGCCCAAACCCGCGATTTTCAGCAAAATCCGCAATTTCCCGCGTTTTTTGTTGTTTTCTGCACTATCTCACCTCTTTATGCACTTTTCACGTAGTTCTTTCCATGATCCTAATGGGGTCGTTTTCGGCACTTGTGCCAGTGGTTGTGAGACTTACCCACTCACCCCCACCGTTAGGCGCTGCATCTGGCGCTAGGGTTTATCGGGTGTTAGCGGCCGTCGTGAGTTCCCTTCGGGAACGAACACGATAATTTACTTCTTTTTTTTTCATGATCCTGTAGGTTACCGTATTTTCCGGGGTATAAGCCGCACCCCCCTTTTTGAGGCAAAATATTGACTAAAAGTTGGTATTCGGAGTATTAGGCCGCAACCACACTACGTAAAAATCACAGTACAAATTTTCATGCATATCTCAGTACAAGTCGGTACGCAACCACACTACACTTTTCGGTCTGCATAGATGACGTTTTCACGCGAACAGCACGTGACGTTGTCGTACCAAAGCGTGTGCCATGCGCTGGAAAAGACCGGGAAATTCAAAAACAATGCTGATGCTGATGCTATGTACGACGACCAGGTACAAAAACAAAGTTGTACAGAGGAGATGGAGCGCGAAAACGACGAAAACGGCAAACGTGGCTTTCTACAGGGGTGCGCCAGTTGCTGAAAACCTACAAAGCGCGTTTTGCATTTCGCACGCGTCGGCATGACGATTTCTACTGTAATGCAGTTTGTACGTGATTTTGTACCTAGTGTGGTTGCAGCCTAAGCCGCACCCACAAACCAAGATTTTTCACACTCATTGACAAATGGCCTTTCTACAAATTTATTATGGTTATGGAGCTAAATACCATGTTAGATCAGATTATGAAGTGTTAGTGCACCACAGGTTGCTGCAGAGATGTTGGTGTATTGCTGTGTTGACTACAGATCACTTCATGTCATCTGCACTATCTTCAGTCTCGCCACCATTGATGTTGATCAGCAACACAGGCGCGAAGCTGAGTCGAATGACATGTCACATGACGTCAGCATGCATACTGATGTATGCTAAGCATTCATTCGCGCAAGCATATTCGGTGTATAAGCCGCAGGGGCGATTTTGGTCCGATTTTTAGCGAAAAAAAGTGCGGCTTATACCCCGGAAAATACGGTATTTGCACAGTACGACTCCTGAGCAGATATACGATGCAACAAATTTCGTGATTTGCCCCAAATCCGCAATTTTCTGCAAATAATTCCGCGAATTCCTGGCAAGTTCTGCATCATTCCGCACTTTTTGTCGCATTTTTTGTTACTTTCTGCCGCAATTTCTTGCGCAAGTTTTCGAGAGTTTTTTTTCCGCACGTTCCTGCAGGGACAGTAGGGAGGTTCTGCTATACGTGAAACGCAGAGAAATCACGTAGAGAGCAGGTGTCTGGGCTAGAGTCTACGGCTTCGCGTGTTTTGGCTCCAGATTTCTACGCGGAGATGGGGTTCTCTACGTTGTGGCCCACGCAGAGAAAATGCGTACGGATTTGCTGGGTATCGATCAACTGCATGCAGAAAACTGCCAAATATGGAAGGGGAAATTCCCAGTACACATTCCACGTGACTTCTCTAGGTGAAACGTAGAGCAGAACAGCATTTCTTTACGTTACGGGAACGCGAAGAAAGTTCGCGTGATTCTTTGCGTCGCGTTCCCAACACGTAGAGCAGAACCTCCCTACTGTGTAGAACTGCCCGTGCATGAAAAAACGGTCGCTAAGAGCAGGTCGTCGCTTACACCAGGTTTTACCGTACATTGAATGGTGGTCGCTACACTGAGTGCAAGTGACAGTTGTAGGTGTGCTAGCATGCTGGTACATGGTAGGTCTTCACCGGGGAGTCGTCAAATACCGGTATTTTGACGACTCCCTGGTCTACATAGTGGTGAGGGCACACCACTGTGGCACTGAACATGCAAGGTCTCGGTGTAGCTGTGCGAGAACGCACCAAAAACAAAAGCAGAAATAGTTTGTAACTACATATGGGGAGAGGTGGGATGGACGAAGGGAAGACCACGTGTGAGTGGAAGAAAAAAAAGACTTGCATGCATGTTGGTCGGAGCGCGTCCTAAAGATAGCCCTACTACTAGGCGCTAGGCAGATAATGCTCGAATAGCAGTGAAATCATAATTGGCAGAACTTCACCACACCTTATGGCAGGCGCTTCCTAGAATTCTGCTCCATCTCTTTATCCACACACCAAAACATGCATGAAGCATACCAGAAAAAGTACATGTACCAAATTCTGCCAATTTTTCTGCCGGCACTATTCGTCAAGGGCTACCCAAAGGTAATGGCTGATACGGACCTACTAACCTTGTTGACACTTTTCAGCATCAAGGGCCAGGGGTGAACGACTATTTGGGCTGGGAAAGACTTGGTCAGGAAGCCTGCTCCACCATTCGATGAAGCAGAAGGGGAAGGAGCGGCGAAGGCAGGTCTACTCCGAAGTCCAACGATTCCCAGGACGGCCGGGAGGAACTGAGATGGTGGGCGAGTGAGGGAGTAGGTCTGCTACAGAGAGTAGTTTACGACCTCTTCCAACACGTAACGTTAGTAGATCTACGGTAGACTGTAGTGCACACTCCACAGGCGCTAGGCATGATTTGAGCATTACTTTCTCCATACCGTCTCTCTAGCTCTGGGTGTCTGCGGATTGATACATGACAGGTTTGAGTTCAATGAGTTGACCTCTGGCTTGACCCCTACGTCACTGTATGCTAGATATATTCACCCAGGCCAGAGATCGGGGGAGTACAGTCCAGCACTTCACGACTCCCAATCCCAGCTTCAGCTTCAGCCTTCACACCACTGGAAACTCCCGTGCTACACCCTCCAGACTGCGCACCAGGTCTGCCTCTGCTTGGCCTTTCGAGTCTCGTAGACAGCCACACTATCGATACCTGCATGTATCTCGATCTCGCATCGGCCTATTCCTGACCCTAGGCCCTGGCTGTGTTACTTGGCGTCTCGCGTGAGCGAGCAACGCCGATGCAACGGCCGTCTATGCTCGGCTGACTCGGAAGTCCAGGACTGCTCATGTATTCATGGTCGTTGGCAGGGCTGGGGTTCAGCTGCTTCAAATCCACTGTACCGTACACTCTCCCATGGTTACCACATCCTCATTGGTCATGGAGTATTCGTTGATCCCCTACTCGTGGAATTGCGCCAGCGAATCGCTGCTGATTGGTCGTTGGATCTCGCCTTCCCAGAAACTGAAGCAGCTGCACCGATCGAGAGGTAGACGGTCGTTCCCGCCGCTTCTTCCTCCTGCTTGCAAGAAGACGGTAGGGAGGAGGTTGTCGTTTGTCGCTCTCCGTCATTTTGGTCTTTTGGACTAACCCCGCAACTGCAACCGCACCAAGATGGAAGCTGAAGGCACAGTTCAAGGTAAGCC